TTTGTAGCCTGCTCTAAGGAGGACAGTCCATGGGCTGTTCCCTAGGGAAGAGCTGGGATTTTTTTCGGTGAAATCAAGCATACATGAAAGACGTAGGTTGGGAAATGCTGCCGTAGGCCAGAGTGTTCAGGGAGACCTGCCTAGAGGTGCAGGCAGAGGGAGGGTGTGGACCCGCCGAGGCCGGTGATCCAGAGGTTCACAGTGGTCAGGGTGAGCCCTGGGCACGTGGGTAACCGCAGACCTGTCTGCCCAACACAGCATCCACAAGCCACAAGTGCCCGATGCAGCACCAAGAGACGACGGCTGGTCCTAACTGAGATGCGCATTTAAATGTAAAATACACACCAGATTCCAAAAAATCTGGTATGAAGAAAAACGCATGTAGAGTATCTCACTGATTTTTTTTTTTTTTGCAGTACGTGGGCCTCTCACTGTTGTGGTCTCTCCCGTTGCGGAGCACAGGCTCCAGACGCGCAGGCTCAGTGGGCACGGCTCACGGGCCCAGGCGCTCCGCGGCACGTGGGATCTTCCCGGACACAAACCCGTGTCCCCTGCATCGGCAGGCGACTCTCAACCACTGCGCCACCAGGGAAGCCCATCACTGATATCTTTTTAAAAAGATTTATTTATTTATTTGGCTGCGCCGGGTCTTAGTTGTGGCATGTGGGATCTAGTTCTCTGACCAGGGATTGAACCCAGGCCCCCTGCATTGGGAGTGTGGAGCCAGGGAAGCTCCATTGGGTGGTCCATTGGGACTACCAGGGAAGTCCCAATTTTTCCTTCACTCTTTTTTGTTTTTTTAAAATCTTTTGGCCATGCTGAGAGGCATGCGGGGATCTTACCTCACCAACCAGGGATCGAACTTGCACCCACCGCATTGGCAGGGCAGAGTCTTAACCACTGGACCACCAGGGAAGTCCCTCTCATGGATATTTTTAATACTGATAATACGTGTTGAAATTATAATATTGTGGGTATACTGGGTTTAAGAAAACATTAAATTTACCTTCTCGGAACTGGCGTACAGTTCTAAGAAGATAAATCCAGCTATGCTGGCGAGACAGAGGAGGTTGGGGAGAAACCAGAGGAAGGAGAACCGTTAGGAGGCTTCTCAAATAGGGAGATGAAAGGACCCTGGTTGGGGTGGAGACTGGGGGTGTCAAAAAGAAGTGGGGGGACTTCCCTGGTGGTCCAGCGGTTAAGGTTCCGCTCTCCCAACGTAGGGGGCCCGGCGTTTGATCCCTGGGCAAGGAACTAGATTCCACATGACACAACTAAGACCCCATGCAGCCAAATAAATAAAGGCTGTGTGACTTCAGGAGAAAAATTCGGAGCTCGTTTTCCTCCCTTTTTTTTTTTTTTTTCCTCCTTCCTTTTAACATGTTGAGTTTAAGGTGATGGGAAACATCCAGTTGGCATATGGGGGAAATGACCCTGGAGCTCAGGAGAAAAGCTAAGCTGAGGATGGATTCTTCGTCTGCACTTGGTTGAATCCGCCAACGCGGAACCACGGATACGGGGCTGACCCCGCTACATCATTTTATAAAAGGGACTTTGGTGACTTTTGTTATCCGAGGGGGTCTTGAAGTCAATCCCCTGACAATACGACTGCACGGAGAAAGGCATGACCTTTGAGACTGCCTGAATTAGGTCCAGGAGGGAGAAAGCTGAAAGGCAGAGGAAGGAATGAAGGAAGGTAAGCAAGTCGACACCAGGCATTTAAAGGAGTTGTGAATTTCTTATGGTTTTATGTCATCATTAGATAATCAAATTCATCATTTAATTGCTGTGTATTAGGGAGGATTCCACTCGTGCACCCCCAAGTCTAATCTGGTTGAGAAGACACCCCCAGCTACAGTAAAAGATTTAAGTGGCACTTCAATTAAGTAACAGAAAGATGACCCAAGGAGGTGGCTGCTAAGTGAATCATACAAACTGTAGTTTCTTGAGTCAGAGTACCTGGAGAGATACCCCCGAGCTAGGGTGTTTCAGGGAAGCCATACGAAGGAGGTGAGTTTTGAGTGGGTCATGATTGGAGAGGTTGAGTTGTCTTTGCAGGCAATTGAAAGGGCGGGATCAAAAGGGAGGAGGAGGAAGATCCCGGCAGGCGAGTGAACCAGTTTGGCAGGAGGGAAGGAGTCACTGGTTGGATGAGGTGGGGGTGGGGATCGCAGGTGAGGCTGGGGAGGCAGGTGGGAGCCAAATTGTGGCTTTAGTAAGACTTGAATGGACTTTCACGCTCAAGGGAGGGTCATAGAGTTTTGAGCAGGTGAGTGACATGATTGAATTTAAATTTTAGAACGTTAATCTGGCTCTACTTTAAAGGTGAAAGTTATAGGGCTCAGGGACCATTAGTTCAGCCCCTCCTCGCAGGTGAAATACAAACGTGAGAGATTAAGCCTTTTCTAGGAGACAGCCAACTAATATAACTCACTTTCCACAATTTCTAAAATGTTAACATTAGCCTGACTTACAGCCCTCTGTGGGAATAGGTACACTATGGAAGGCAGCTCTCTACTGAGACAGGAGGCTGTGTGTGAGGGTGTGCTAAGACTTTGTGAGGTGCCTGGACTTCAGGTGTGCAGACAACTAAAGTGAGAGAATAATGGTTCTGTGTCACTCCAGCTCCAGCTGGGTTCCTGGGCTGAAACGAGGAGCACCGACGTCAGCGTGGTCAGGCAAAGGGGCAGGAAGGGCAACTTGAGTAGGAGAGAGAAGCAGCGTAATCCACCTGGATGAACAGTTAGATTTGAATTCTAGTCCTGGTTAGCGGGGCTTACGGAAGAAACCACACTTTTGTCACACCCCTTCCAAGGTTCAAATAATTGTTTTTAGCTGATCTTACAGAATTTGTATTTCCCAAAGAAATGGTGTTAGAAAACGGTCGTTAGTTTCCTAGACCATCCTCCAGGAACCTATAAAAATCCCATAATAGCTGAAATTACTGCATATTTTGCAAAGAGAAACACAAATATTTTTTGTCATATTAATTAAAAAGCAAAACAAGTTAGCCAGACTAAGTATTGTGTGTGTTTTTAATGGGAAACATTTAATTGGAAGATGATACGGAACTGAAGGTGGCGGGGAATCTGGAAGAGAATTTCTTTTGGCACTTGCAAGGTCATCTGAGATTCTTCCAATGTCATCTGAGATCAACAGCGCTGGCTCACAAACAGAAAAGAGGCGAGAGAGAGAGAAAGGGAAAGAAAGTATGAGCTGCATGTGTCTTCTGGGAACAGGATAGGATACAACTGGTGTTTGGAGGGTGAGGAGTGGGCGGGGCTGGAAAAGGCGTGGGAGGAAGCCCTCGGAGTTCGCGGGAGAAGGGACGAGACCGGTGTCTGGGGAGGCACAGGGTTAGGGATCCATGTCCCAGGAGGTTAGGCGGAAGCCGCGCGGGGGAAAGGTGGGGCAAACGTTCAAGGGTTCAGGGTATCGGTTCCAACAGAGCAGGAGGGAGGGGTGGGTGCAAACGCGAGGCTCTAGCTGGAGCCCCAGGAACCCCGAGGAGACACAGAAGACCTCTGGGCTGGAGGGCCAGGACCGGCTCTGGCCCGGTGAGAGCACAGTGGACCAGAGCTAGAGAAGGAGAGAAAGAAAGAGGCCCATGTGGACGCCGAGGCGACCCTCAGATGAAGAAGGCAGCCTGGGGGCGAGGGTGCTGAGGAGGGGGCCTCGGCCACCACCAGGGCTCCCGGGCTCCAGGAGAGTCTGGCTGGATTCCAGGACGGGGCCGTGGTGTGGGGAGAGTAACCCAGTCTTGTCACCTTTCTGCTTCCTGCTATGTGGCGGCCTAGGCGCTGCGACTACCAGGCTGGCGGCCGGACCACAGAGAGGCAGGGAAGGAGGACAAGGATGAAGGGCAGAGGGAGGAGCCGGAAGGAGATCCGGGAAAAGGGGGGGAAGCAGAGGCAGGAGGTAATGGATTAGAAACAAACGTGAAGGGAAGCAGGAAGCTTACACAAAAGAGAGGGAAAGGTGTGCAAGTCAGGCTGACCCGTGGGGAAATGAAGACGTACAGGGGAAGAAAGTCCCGAAAACGTCTAATTCAAGGGTGTCACCCTTCCCACACCTCAGCTGTCAACAGGGCATCTGCCGAGGAGCCGCGCGTTCAACACACAAAAATGCAGCCCCTGCTTCTGGGGGCGTTTAGATATGGGCTCATTTTGGTCAAAGATTAAAACACACGGTAGAATCTCAGGGTGAATTTTAAACCAGCCAATAGTTCCAGGTAATAGAAGAGCAGAACTGCGTAAGCTTGGGGCAGGGGGCGGGGGGGAGGCGGAGTGAGCCAGTGTTGGATGAAGTATTTTCTTTCATGAAAGATACAGTTAAATACACATTTTAAGTTTTTTTTTTAAATGCCGCCTTATAAAAACAGGTTACCAAAATGACGGGAATAAAGTGAGGGAGAGAATTATTCGGAGGCGCACTCCACAACGCCGCAGTTGAGTGCGGCCACCGGGCGAGTTCCGCGCCTGAAGGTCCCCGCGCGGATCCCCGAGCGGCCGAGCCGGGGCCGGGACTGGAGCGCGGGCGCCCGGTGCCCCCCGGGCCGGCAAGACGCGCCCGCAGCGCCCCGCGCGCCCCCGGGCGTCGCACGTGCGCCTTCAGGCGCGGTCTCAGCCGGCCGGGCGGGGGCGGGGGACAGGCGGCCCGTGGGCTCTGCCCGCGTGCGGGGTCCGCCCCCTCGCCCTCCCCCCTTCCCCTTTCCCCTTCCCCCTCAACCGCAGCCCCAGCCCCACGTGCGCGCAGCCCCACGAGGCGCCTCTAGCCAGCCCGCCTCAGAGGGGCGCGACCCCCCAGCCACGTGGGGGCGGGGCCCGGCGGGGGCGGGGGGCGGTGCTCGCCCGCGGCCCCTCCTCCCGGCCCTCGGGCGCCCCTCCCCCGCCCGTGCGCGGCCCGCGGGCGGCGGGCGGGGGCGGGGGCGGGGTTGTTGTTGTGCCGAAGCCCCGCCCCCGCCCGCCCCCGGCCCATCTGTTCCCCGCGGGCCGCGGCGACATTGTGCGGGCTGGGCGGCCGGGCCGCGGCGCGATGGCCCCGGGGCAGCCGCCTCGGTAGCTCGGCCGGAGCGGCGCCGGGAGCTGGCGGGCGGCGGGCGCGGAGGCGGCGGCGCTGCCGGAGATGCGCCCCGAGGAGGGCGGCGCGGCCGGGCTGGGCGAGCTGCGCTCGTGGTGGGAAGTGCCGGCCATCGCGCACTTCTGCTCGCTCTTCCGCACGGCGTTCAGCCTGCCGGACTTCGAGATTGAGGTGCGCGGGCCGGGCCGGGGTCGGGGGTCGGAACCCGGGTGGGGTTCTGGGGGGCGGGGGCGCGCGGGGACCTCTGAGGGGCTGAGTCTGAGGGGCTGAGTGGGGGTCTGAGGGCGGAGAGCGCCCCAGGGCGGCCCGGGAGGGCGGGGGTCGGGGTCCGGGCTGAGGGGACCGGGCGGCGGGGAAAGTTGGGCCGTTACTCCGGGCGGCGTCCCTGCGAGCGCAGCGCGGGGCCGGGCGGCCGGGGGAGCGGACGGCGGGCTTTGTGGGGCCGGGCAGCGGGCGGGCGCCCCTGGCCGGCGCCCCGACCCCTCCCCCGGCCGCCTGGGGTCGAGCGCGCGCGGCCGGCCGGTGCCGCGGCCCCGGACAAAGGTGCGGCACCGGCGCGGCTGGGCGGGCGAGCGGGGCCGTGGGTCCGCCGCCTGAGGGAGGCGCGCCCGGCGGCGGAGGGTGCGCGCGGGCGGGCGGCAACAATGCGGCGGCCTCCGGGTGCGGGGGGCTCGGCGCCGCACGCCGTTTTCAAAGTTGGGACGTGACTCGGACGAGCACGGCTTTTTCTAAAAACGTGAGCGGGACGGTGGCTCCCGCCGCCTGAGGAGGAGAAACGACAGATTAGGGAATGCCGAGCGTCAGGACTTGTGCCCCAACCGTCCCGAGGACCCCGTGTTTCCTTTTAGTTGGTGAAAATCCTCAGCACTTTAATTCTGCTGCTCAAAATGGTGGCTGCGGTGGGAGGTGTTGTGGTGACAATGCCGTGGTGGTGCCGCTAAACTTGCCCCTGCCCCATTTTCTCCCTGAAACGTAATAGGACTGAGGTGCTGCTGAATTACGGGTTTAGAGTTTAAGAACCCCGTCTAAAAATACTGTGGAAAAATTTCATCTTGCAAAAATCCATGTATTCCGATTTTACTGACGGAAAAATAGAAGGAAGTAATCTTGCCCGAAGTTGTTACAGAAGTCGAGTAATCTATAAATAACGTTTTATGTTCTAAGTAATGAACCTGTGGTTTCTAAGTATTAGCAGCTTGAATTCCTAAAGGCAATGTAACCTGATCTGAGAGGTCCAATCTGTGTGTATAACAGAAATGAAAAATCGTTGTTACAGGTGAATAATCAGGGCCACTTGAGATGAGTGTTTTCTCTTCGGAGCCCAGTATTTCTTGGAAGTGACACTTTTTTGGTGGTTGTTGTAGTTAAAATGTGTGCTATTTGAAGTATATAAAACACGATTGAATATTTGGAGTCCACCGTGTACGTATTTTGGTAATTATCCGTATCTGTTTATAATTTGGAGATGTTGTTCCCTAGATGGATACCTAAGGATAGTGACTTTTACCTCTGCAGTTCTTGTTGTAATCCTTTTCACATGTGTTTTGATGAATGCAAACTTTAATAACTTAAAGTTTTCAGTAATTGTCAGAAATTAAAAATTTTAAAGTAATTTTTAGGCTTCTAGCAAATTTGACTCCGTGAGTGCAGAATTCACTGAGAACATGGTCAATTTTGATTCTCTAAGTATAATTAAATAAGTAAATTATTTTTATTTTGCTTAAGTGATTTTTCTTTTAATCTAATAGTTTATTGTCCTGAAAGTTTGACAAACAATCCCTTGGTTAGAGTTTATGATGCACTGGAAGAGCCTTTTTAAAAACAAACAAACAAGAAACAATACTACTGCTCAGTTGGACAGCTGCAAGGGCCCTATAAAATCTTAATTTACTGCAACTTTAAAAGATAGAAATGATGAATAATATCAAGTGGTAGAAGTTGGGTATCAGCTTTTTTAGGAAACCAGTTTTCAGCTGTGGGAAAGAACTAATTTTACCCTTGACCACCAAGCTAAACCCATGGATTTATAGAAAATTTAGGAAGCAGAATCTTCAAGGACTTGGCTTCTATTTATCTAAAGCAAGGCAATATCTTAGATAGCTGAAGGTCTGGGAGCATTCATGCTGCAATTCTGCAAGAGGTCAAGACCTCCTACTTAGAGAACTGGTCCCCAAAGCATGGATATTTTTATTTTTGCATGTAAGAAAACCTTTTTACTCTTAATTAGCCTTGAATGTACAGGATTTCTTTAGAAGTCAATATACCAGATTCTTGTTTTTTGGGATATGTTTAGGGACTTGTATGTTGCTGCTCCCCAAATATGGGTCCTGTAATCATTAGACCAAAAATCTGCGAATGTGTAGATACGCTTTAAGTTCAAAATTTCTGATTTTAAAAACAATGCATAATCGTTATAGAAGACTTGAAAATCATTATATAAAATATAGGTAGGAGACTTAAATCACCCATAATCCCACCACTCAGAGATAAAAGCTATTAACTGTTAACATTGTATCCCACCACTCAGGGATAAAAGCTGTTAGCTGTTAACATATTTAGAAATTCCCAAACATGCTCACACGTGTTTTTGTGCCCTGGATTAAGTGGTGGTTTGATTTTTCAGAGGAGGAGATTGAGGTGTAGCTGGACAACAGTAGATGAATGATACTGAATTCAGCAGTTGGTATTATGAAATCTCTATAACTAGCTGCTTACCTGGACGGGTTACCAAAGAAGCTCATGGCGCACCTTCTTTGCCTCAGAAAATTATCAGATTCAGAACCACTTCATTTATATCAAGTGTTCTGTAATTGTTTAACATTCTAGTAGGTTAGACTGGTTATGTTTTGTCCTGATTCGAGAGTGAAGAATGGTGAATTGATCTCCCGGAAGATTTAGTACTGGGACTTCCCTGGTGGTGTAGTGGTTAAGAATCCGCCTGCCAGTGTAGGGGACACAGGTTTGAGCCCTGGGGCTGGGAAGATCCCACATGCTGTGGAGTAACTAAGCCAGGACGCCACCACTGCTGAGCCTGCGCTCTAGAGCCCATGAGCCACAACTACTGAGCCCGCGTGCTGCAGCTACTGAAGCCCACATGCCTAGAGCCCGTGCTCCACAACTAGAGAAGCCACTGCAATGAGAAGCCTGCGCACTGCAACGAAGAGTAGCCCCTGCTCACCACAACTAGAGAAAGCCCGCGTGCAGCAACGAAGACCCAACACAGCCAAAAATAAATAAATAAGTAAATTTATTAGGGGAAAAAAAAAAGATTTAGTACTAATTTTTTTCCTGCTAGCCAAGTGATCTTTACAGTGAGTAGCTTGTCTTACTTAACCAGAGTAAGGTAAGGGACGATAGACGATCTTCAGTAATCTGGTCTGGAGTTAATCATGGTGGGTGTAGGGTGGGTTGCAGGGGGGAATCCCATCATAAACATTTTGGGCATATTTTCTCTAGAGAAGAAACCAACCATGGGGCTTCCAGGTGGTTCTTTGAAAATGGTCATGTAGAATTACCTGGTTCATATAGTAGCGGCGTGATGAAAATAATGTGATGGTCCTGTCTACTTTTTTTTCTTGAGCTTCCTGCTTTGAGTACAGAATCCTTTGCCTTCCTGGTTGTGGTTGTATGTGGGTTAAGTCCCTCATCAGCATGATGATCTGGGGGCAGTGTCTTTAATTCGGGTTCCTGTTGGTGTTTCCTTGGATCCAGCCTCTTGAATCAAGAGCTCTAGGCATGAATTATTAAACATGAAAATAAGTGATAGAACTTGCTGAGAGTAACTTATTAGTACATCAGGCCTATCAGTGGTCTCTGAGCCTGGGGCCCAAGGATGGGTTATAGGAGACTTTGTGTTGGTGTACGTATGTGTACTTTGTCACTTCCATCAAATTTTGAAAGAGATTCCAACCATACGAAGGTGAAAAGGCCTTAAACTAGATGAAAGATTTAAGTTGGCCTTGAGTAGGGGAACCAGAAGGCTAGTTTCACAACACAAGATGCCCTGGACCAGGAGTTAGGAAACTTGAATTCTTATTACTAGCTTTGCCCCTAACTACGTCTGTGACCTTCGGCAGGTCAAACAGCCTAATGAAAAAGGACACTTGTATAGTACTTTGTACATGTTCCAAATGTTATTTTATTCATAGCCATCCTTAACCATCACTGGGAGGTAGGAATTACCTTAATTTTGCAGATGAGGAAATTGGAAGGTTAGAGAGGCTACGTTTCTTGCACAGACTCTCACCTGGATCTCAGGTTCTTTGATACCAAATTCTTTGCTACTGCTGCTACATCGCACTGCTTCTACTTTAATTTTCACCATCTATAAAATGAAGGGCTAGACATAGAAGTAATGGCCAAGATTCCACAGTGCAAATGTACAGTTCTTTGGTTCTTAATAACGTGGGGTTCAGAAGATCCTTTTTAAAACGTCTGCTGGGACTTCCCTGCTGGCGCAGTGGTTAAGAATCCGCCTGCCAGTGCAGGGGATGCAGGTTCGAGCCCTGGTCCGGGAAGATCCCACATGCTGCGGAGCAACAAAGCCCGTGTGTCACAGCTACTGAGCCTGTGCTCTAGAGCCCCCAAGCCACAACTACTGAAGCCCGTGTGCCTAGAGCCCGTGCTCTGCAACAAGATAAGCCACCACAATGAGAAGCCCGCACACCGCAATGAAGAGTAGCCCCAGCTCTCTGCAACTAGAGAAAGCCCACGCACAGCAAGGAAGACCCAATGCAGCCAAAAGTAAATAAATAAATAAAATAATTAAAAGAAAAACAAAAACTTCTGCTGAATACAGAGGGACAAGTTCATGATTTCATTTGTTTCTTTCAGCAAATAATTATTGAGCATCCATTATGTGCTAGATGCAGTTTATTAGGTGCTGGAGGTACAGATGTGAACATAACAAAAAAATACCTGCCCTCTTTAGTGGAAGGAGACAGATAATAATAAACAAATTGGCATAGAGAGAGCCAAGTTGAGGGGGTAGGGTTGTTGGAATTTAAAATAGGGTGATTAGGTGTGGGTGGCCTCATTGAGAAGATGGCATTTGAGCAGGACTGAAGGAAATAGGGGATTTAAGATTATTTAAAAACTAGTAGTTTGTGGGACTTTCTTGGCGGTCCAGTGGTTAAGACTCTGCGCTTCCACTGCAGGGGGTGCAGGTTCGA